GTCGCCGTTTTGCCTTCCTCCTCTGAAGTATACTTTGGTAAGTTCTATTCATCAATCCATCTTCATACATGTCTCTTTCCCTTTATTCCCGTTATACTCACTCCGTTTCTTTCTTTTGAACCTTTCCGCCGCCGTCATTGCCGCTGTCCATGGTTGCCGCTGTGGAATCGTGCGACCTTATTCTCTTCCTCTCACTGCCGGTGAGTTATCACTCTTTCACTATTTTCTCTTTCTTTACCATCTTCAAACCATTGTCTAAATGATTGTAGATCTGTTGCAGGTCTCCGTTGTCGGATATATTTTCCCGGACAGATTTAATATTCTCGTTAGTATCCGCCGCGTGGCCCTCATAACCACTAATAATATGGTAAAAATCTACAGTAATGGCCCTCTTGACCGCGCTTTGCGGCTGATTGCGTATAAAACTAGGGTGTATAGTCTTTACACGAAGATAGGTAACAATCGCAACTGAAAAAACGATCGACACGGAATCTGTTGAAATTTATGTATATAAACCCGTAGATATGTGTGTGTATGAGAGTGTGACTCGAATTGTTTTGTATATTCTTGGGGAAATTTTGATTTCGTGATGAAAATGGGATTTAGAGAGATAGGAGAATCTAGTGGGAATTTGAGATACGTGTGGGTCGCACATGGCGTGCTCCTTTTTTCTTTTGATGCGTCAATCTCCATCTAGCCTACCATTTTGTCTATTTCTTCTCAACCTCTCAATCTTTTGAAGGTTTATTTTGTTTTAACTTAACGATGTTTCATTGCATAAAGTATGAATGAGCTAAAAATAGTACTCTAAAAGTTTTTTTTTTTTTTTTTTTTTTGATAACTAGAATTTCAACTTAATTAGTTTTATGTTTTTAATTTAAACATCTATAAAAAAAATATATATCTAAGATACAAATTAATGTATTTTTTTCTGATGATAGGCTAGATGGAAAGAACTCTTCCATCTTATATGAGATACTGAATTACTGAATAGGTTACACTGTGTGTGTCGCTACTAGGGACCTCTGTTTTCCAATAATGACACTTTTGTTTTTTCTTCTTGTCTTTTAAATTAGAGATAATCAGAGATTCCTCTAATTCATCTTCCTCTTGGCTTTGAGCAATAATGGCAGCAATACTCACCATTGAGTTTCAAAACTGTTTCATCTTGATTGTCCTAAGCTTCTTCTCGCTCCTCTGTTACTCTCTACTTCAAGAAACCAATAGATGGCTCTGATTATCCTCCAAGCCCTCCCTCTCTGCCCATCATTGGCCATCTTCACCTATTACTCTGTTCTACCCCACAAGTTTTTTCAGAAGATCTCATCCAAATACGGACCTCTCCTCTACCTCCTTATCTTCAAAGTCCCAATTTTCCTCGTCTCCTCGGCCTCGGTAGCTTGCGAGATCTTTAGGACGCACGACGTGAATGTCTCAACTCATGGTTTCCGTGCGATAGAGGGTTCTCTCTTGTTCGGACCTAAATCATTCGCAGGTGCTCCCTACGGAGATTACTACAAGTTCATGAAGAAACTCCTGGTGATGAATCTATTTGGCCCGCAGGCCCTGGACCGGTCACGAGCGATCCGTGCTGATGAGCTAGAGCGGTTTTACGGAGACTTGCTCGACAAGGCGAGAAAGAAAGAGATTGTTGAGATCGGTAAGGAAGTAATGAAACTCACTAACAACAGTATCTGCAAGATGCTCATGGGGAGGAGTTTCTCTGAGGAGAAGGGTGAGGCAGGGAATATCAGAGAGTCGGTGAAGAAAACAATGGGTTTGCTAGGGAAGGTTGTCTTGTCAAACACGTTAGGTAAGCTTGGCATCTCTCTCTTCGGAAAAGAGATTAGGAAGGTCTCCCACGGATTTGATGAGCTTCTAGAGAGGATGCTCCGTGAACACGAAGAGAAGAAACCGGAGAAACATCAAGTTAAGGACATGATGGATGCAGGCCCGGCCCTAAGCATGGGCTGACAGTGCAAATGCACTTGTCCCACGTTTTTTTACAAAAATTCTTTTAAATTTTAGGGTCCTAAAGTCTGAAAATATTGTAGAAAAGGTCCACAATTCTGAAATGCTCATACATTGACCAATTATTTTCTAATTTTGCATAGGGTCTATTCAATTCTTGGGCCGGGCCTGGATGGACGTGTTGTTGGCGGTTTCTCGAGATGAAAACGCAGAGTATAAGATCACCAAGAACCACGCTGTTAGTGGTAAGTGTGCTAAACCCTAAAAAGCATCATGTTCATGCTCACAGCTCACTTGTCCTGATCAAGAAACGCTGCGTCTGCAATTTCAGGAGCTTTTAATGGGAGGCACTGACAGTGCTGCGCATGAAGTGCAGTGGGCAATGGCTGAGATCATCAGCAACCAAGTATTCTTGAGAGACTGAGACAAGAGATTGATTCGGTGGTAGAGAAAACAAGGTTGATTCAAGAAGCGGATCTACCGAGACTTCCTTATTTGCAGGCGGTGGTTAAGGAAACCCTAAGATTGCGTCCAGCAGTGCCTGTTTTGGTAAGGATGTTCGAACAAGAATGTAAGGTTGGAGGTTTTCGCATACCGGAGAAGACAACGCTTGTTGTAAATGTATACACTCTGATGAGAGATCCGAATATCTGGGAAGATCCCGATGAGTTTAAACCAGAGAGGTTTCTTGCTTCGTCAAGATCAGATCAAGAAGAAGAGAGAGAGCAAACCCTAAAGTATCTTCCTTTTGGCAGCGGGAGGAGAGTATCTCCTGGATTAAATCTTGGATCTCTCTTTGTCAGAACCGCGGTTGGAATGATGGTGCAGTGCTTCGACTGGAGAAACAAAGGAGATGAAGTTGTTAACATGGAAGACATGATTGCAGGAGTGACATGGCTCATCCATTGAAATGCACTCATCTTCCTCGAGCCGTTCCTTTGACTTCACGAATGCAGATTCCAAGCTCGCAACTTTAAGGTATCACTGAATCGCAAGACCTATAGCTATTGGCATGGATAATAATTTAGGAAGCTTGCTTTTCAGTATTCAGACTCTCATGCTTATATATCTTGCCCTATAAGTTTCTTGTTTAAGTCAACCTGGAAGCTAATATTCCTTCAAGTTTCAGTTCCCATCATCATAATCCTTATGTTAACATTTCACAAGGATTTAAATGAAAAAAAAAAGGGTTATCATTTGAGAAACTTACAGAACAAGAAACGGATTTTATCTTGATTAGGCTTTCGACACACAAGGGGTTCGGGGAAAAATGTCTGAAGTTGTAAAGCGAAAGCTAAAGAATATTATAAATTTCAACTTCACTGCTCATGACTCATCAGGATCAAAATCACGTGTAGGAAATTTTGTTTCCAGCTTTTACAAGGCTTTAAAGTGGAAATGGATGGAGGAACAAAGAAGCAAGAAGGTCTTTCATCTTTTTGGCACAGCTTTCGACGTCATGAAACTCCTCCATCATAACGGCACAGCTTTCATCTTCTAAGCTAATATATACACACCAAATTATAAGGGAAAACGTAATTACTTAGTGACAATTTTTAAGCTCTTCGACGTAATAATGCATATGCCAAAATTTGAAGTTAAGCTTGGCAAACTTGAGAAGCGTCTTGTGATCTTCTTCTTGTTCGTAAAAAGAGATGAACTGTCTTGACTCCAAGTGGATACATCTTGATTGGGTTTTCAAAGCTCTTTGTTTTAACACTTGTTTGGACTTGTAAAAACTTGCACATCAAGTTTCTCACCTTCACACCATCATTATCTTATAATTCTCTCTTTCCATCTTCCTCAATTCTTCAATCACTGCTTCTTTGGTAACGGCATATTGTTTCATGTAACAGTTGACACCATTCGCCACCTACTTGGTGCAAATCTTAAGCTCTTTGACTTGATGGATATGACAAAATTTGAAGTTAAGCTTGGCAAACTTGAGTAGCATCTTGTTGTGATCTTCTTCTTGTTCGTAGAAAGAGATGTACACATCTCCCTCTAACGCCTTTTGCCAGACTCTGCTTTAACTTCACATCTTCACCTTTGTATCTCTTGAACACATCTGCACAAATTCGATATTACCAAATATATAAAAATACGCTTATAAAGCTACTCAGGGAACCCAATATAATCCTCTTAAGGTGTTAACTATACCGCAAGACATGTTGTGTCCGTAGTCTGAAAACTTCAAACATGACTGCGACTGTGTCCAAGCTGTCCTGGAAAGCCTTGTTTAGAAGCTCTTCCATATCAAAATAATGCGAAACACCGAAGCTGATAAGCAGCATATAGATCAACGGAATGCTCTCCTTGTCTCTTACTTTTGGCTTCATCGCCGATTCAAATCCCACGCTCAAGTATACCAAATTCCTACAAAAATATATGATACATCTCATTATCTCAATAACAAAAAAAAACATGTTGATATGGAACAAGAATGGTCAAGTGTACATACAAAGTCGTCGAGGGGAACAGAGAGGAATTAGAAGATGGAGAAAAATGCGTCAAAGGACGACTGCTCTCAAGATTCTCAGTAGTAGCTTTTACAAAGAAGGAAACATGTTTTGAGGATTTTCAGAGAAAGAGTATGGTAGTTTTGATGAAGCAAACGGAGAGGAAAGATAGGGAAGCTGGTTTTGAGAAGGAGAGGGACATTCTTAAGGTGAAGAGAGAGTTTTAGGACCAAAACCCATTCTTGCTGCTTCCATGTTTAGTGAGAGATTAAGATCTACTCTGTTTCCATATACGTACTCTTTTTTATATAGATCTAGAAGTTGGTGGAGAGGCTAACACGTTTTTAATAAGAGTACAATACAATATATAAATTAATAATCACAGTAGGCCAGTAGCTCTGAAAAACTCGAATCTTCATTTAAAGATTATTTGCATTGCACATGAGGGTGTCTGTAAACTCCGCAGAGTTTACAAATCCGAACTCTAAGTTAATTATATTTTATATGATCAGCATCTAAACTTGCTAAAAAAGAAGGGCTGGCATCGAACCCTCTTCTCTTTGAGCAACAATGGCAGCAATACTTAACGTTGACTTTCAAAAATATTTCATCTTGATCCTCCTATGCTTCTTCTCGCTCCTCTGTTACTCTCTCTTCTTCAAGAAACCAAAAGATGGCTCTCATTTTCCTTCAAGTCCTCCGTCTCTGCCCATAATTGGCCATCTTCACCTTCTACTCTCTGTTCGACCCCACAGGGCATTTCAGAAGATCTCATCTAAATACGGACCTCTCCTCTACCTACGCATCTTCAACGTCCCCATTGTCCTCGTCTCCTCGGCCTCGGTAGCTTACGAGATCTTTACAACGCACGACGTGAACGTCTCGACACATGGTGTCCGTATAATGGAGGATTCTCTCTTGTTATCCGTCTCTGCCCATAATTGGCCATCTTCACCTTCTACTCTCTGTTCGACCCCACAGGGCATTTCAGAAGATCTCATCTAAATACGGACCTCTCCTCTACCTACGCATCTTCAACGTCCCCATTGTCCTCGTCTCCTCGGCCTCGGTAGCTTACGAGATCTTTACAACGCACGACGTGAACGTCTCGACACATGGTGTCCGTATAATGGAGGATTCTCTCTTGTTCGGACCTGAAACTTTCACAGGCGCTCCCTACGGAGATTACTACAAATTCATGAAGAAGCTCCTGGTGATGAATCTATTTGGCACACAAGCCCTGGAGCGGTCACGAGCGATCCGTGCTGATGAGCTAGAGCGGTTTTACGGAGACCTGCTCGACAAGGCGAGAAAGAAAGAGAGTGTTGAGATCGGCAAGGAAGCAATGAAACTCACTAACAACAACGTGTGCAGGATTCTCATGGGGAGGACCTTTTCAGAGGAGAAGGGTGAGGCGGGAAGAGTCAGGGATTCGGTGAAGAAGACAATGGGCTTGATAAGAAAGGTTGTCTTGTCAAACACGTTAGGTAAGCCGCTTAAGAAGCTTGGCATCTCATTCTAAGGTTGTCTTGTCAAACACGTTAGGTAAGCCGCTTAAGAAGCTTGGCATCTCACTCTTCGGAAAAGAGATTAGGAGGGTCTCTCACGGATTCGATGACCTGCTAGAGAAGAATCTCCGGGAGCACGAAGAGAAGAAACCGGAGAAACATCAAGTTATGGACATGATGGACGTGTTGTTGGCAGCTTCTCGAGATGAAAACGCAGAGTATAAGATCACCAAGAACCACATCAAGTTGTTGTTTGTAGTAAGTGTCCTGAAAGAATATATAAATCATGTTCATGCTCACGTTTTCCTGATCAAGAAACGCTGGGTTTGCAATTTCAGGAGCTTTTCCTTGGAGGCACTGACAGCGCGGGGCAGGTAACGCAGTGGGCAATGGCTGAGATTATCAACAAACCAAGTGTTCTTGAGAGACTGAGACAAGAAATTGATTCAGTGGTAGAGAAAACAAGGTTGATTCAAGAAGCGGATCTACCGAGACTTCCATATTTGCAAGCGGTGGTTAAGGAAACACTAAGACTGCACCCACCAGCGCCTGTTGTGGTAAGGATGTTCGAACAAGGATGTAAGGTTGGCGGTTTCTGCATACCAGAGAAGACAACACTTGCTAAGAATGTTTACGCTGTGATGAGAGATCCGGATATCTGGAAAGATCCCAATGACTTTAAACCAGAGAGGTTTCTAGCTTCTTCAAGATCAGATCAAGAATCCATAAAGTATCTTCCTTTTGGTGGTGGAAGGAGAATCTGTCCTGGATTAAATCTTGGATATATCTTTGTCGAAACCGCTGTTGGAATGATGGTGCAGTGCTTTGACTGGAGATTAAAAGGAGATAAAGTTGTTAACATGGAAGAGACTGTTTCAGGAATGACCTTGACCATGGCTCATCCACTGAGATGCACTCATCTTCCTCGAACCGTTCCTTTGGCTTAAAAAATGCAGATTCCAAGTTCAGAAATTTGAGATATCCACTGAATTCCAAGAACTATAGCTATTATCATGCAGTTGGTATGTGTAATAGCTAATAAGGAAGCTTTTTTTCCGTTTACATTTTGTTTGTTCTGTATTTATTATATTTCAATAAATATTTGCAATAAACACTCACCTCTAAAATCCCAGTCCTAAATGAATCTGTGGACAGTAGCTATAAGTTTTATGTTCAGTCCATCTGTTCAAGGAACTGACGATTTAAAGGTATACATAAGTGTAGATAATTAGTTTAAGGTGAGTAGATAATAGAGAAAAAAACAAAGTATGGTTATGTTATCTAAGTGTGAATATAATTAGTTTAAGGAACCACGCATATCGTTACTTTCTTTAAATCGCTTTATTGTTTCGAAAGTACTACTAAAAAGTCGATTACATTTTTAAAAATGCATCCAAAGAAGATAGATTGGTTATTTGTTGATAGAGGTTGTCTTAAAGAGGTATTGGCTGGAGGAACAAAGCGGTAAGACGGTCTTTGAGCTTCCCATGGGGATATTTGAATCCATCACCCTCCCTGTAATACACAGCGATGACACGTGCAATGTTAATGACTCGCACCACAATCTGTCGACGTGGCATCGTAGTGGCCGACATCATGAACTCATCCATCATTATCTTATAACTCTCCTGGGCCATCTTGCTCATCTTTTCTACGGCTTCCTTTTGGGTAACACCGTGTTGTTGCATGTAACAATTTACACCATTCGCCACCTCTCCTCTGCTCATCTCAACCTGCTCATGTGTATCGATCAAATATAAGTGGCCCATGCACGTATATATTATACGTGTTATAAAACTGCATATCCACGTACGTACTTCGAAGGAGACTATGTCATTTATTAGACGAAAATAAGCACTCAGAGCTTGGAAGATTTTGGGTTTGGAGTAGAACCACTCTTTCAATTGCTTCTCATCACAATCGTCCATGGCTATGTAGCCGTAGGCTGCCAAGTCATCCATTCCGGCTGTGACTAGCCCAACCTCCATGTACTCATCGAAGCTTGGCACGTGACCTGCGCGTGCCCATTTTGATATAGCTAGATACGATATCACCAAAGATTTACTCTGCAATATAAATTGTTAGATACTTCATTAGATTAAAATAATTTTCCATTCCATCTACAGCTTAACTTCATCTATAGTTAACTTAAATTAACAAATACTAATTGTTATTATCGATTACGTACCTCATCTATAGTCGGTTGCATAGTATCGGATTTTCCTCGAGCCATCATTTCTTTATCAATTTCTTCCACAGTTTCTAACACAATCCGGAACATGATTCTCATATAGCTTGGTAGTTCTTCAATGGCCCCAAGATCCCACCTGCTCATTTTGTTATTATCTATTATTAAACTAACCAAGGACCAAGGAAATCACATGCAAAGAGATGGGATTTTGGTATGCATATATATATGTCTTATATTATTATATATATATACACTAGGACTTTCACCCGCGCACGCGCGGGTTTGTGTCTTAAATCGGTTTAAAATATATTTTTAAAGAATATTTTTTTTAAAACTGCAAAAATCAACAATTAAAATTTAATAATATTTCAATACCAAAATTCTCTGAAAAAAAGTTTTTAGATATATATTATCGTATTGAGATCAAATCTTGATATACAAAAATATTGTTTACACCATATCCCGGTAACAAAAATGTTTTTGTATGTCTAATGACCAAAACTTACTTGAAGATATTCAAATCATTATTATAATACAAACTTTATTAGTAATATATATATATATATATATTGTAAAATGTAATGTTAATTTATGAATTAATTTTTTTTTTTTTTTTTTTTTTTTTTTTTTTTTTTTTTTTTTTTTTTTTTTTTTTTGGTTTTTTTTTGTTTAAATTTACAGTTATTTTTTTTTTTTTGTTTTTATTCGATCGAACTCGACATTTTATTGAACCACTAGTTCCTTTCCTCAAGTTTTTCTGATTTTTTTTTTTTTTGTTTTTTTGTTTTTTTTTTTTTTTTTTTTTTTTTTTTTTTTTTTTTTTTTTTTTTTTTTTTTTTATTGTGACTTGTTAATCATTTTCTAAACAGAAATATATTTTTAAATATGTATAGTGAAATTCTTAAAATTAGATGTCAACAGTATTTGTATGTAACACGATGTTTATTTAAAATAACTTTAATTCGTTATGTTAGAACTTAAAATGCTATAAACAATATATAATTTATTTTTCAGTACATTTAACTTGCATATCGTGTTATTAGTTTATAAACTTTGATCATAATAGTATATATTTAGCTTTTATATAATATAAATTATGTATATTTTTTTTTATGGCTTAAAGAAAATCTTAAATCAATTGTTTGTCAATGTTGATTTTTTTATTAGTAATTTTGTCACATTTTTATGTGTTATGTATACATTTCTTTTTAGAAGTATTTTAATGTTTACTTGAATATTTCCGCCTTAAATCTTGTTTATAAATACATTCTTGTTCAAAATTTTGTTACAACTTATTTGTTTAGAAATTGCAAAATTCAGTTAGTGTTTATTTAATTGCAAAAATGGTTATTAACTCACCTCATATCGTGTTTCTAATCAAATCGAGTAATCATATTTGGCAAGTTTATACTACACCAAAAATGAAATATTTCCTCTTGAATTTGATGGCAAAAGCTTTGTCTTGACCGATCAAACTCTGGCTGCTCATGGAATTGATACACCTCCTGCAATCATTGTGATCATCAAAGGAAACAGTCTCCATATCTTCTTCATATGTCTTTTACAGTATGAGTTTTGGATCAAGTCCCTGCTTCTCAATAAACTTATGGCAAACTCACACATTTTTCATGAACTCTTTGAAGATGTAGAAAAACTGATTATTCTACCCCTAATAGGTTTATTGCCTATATCTCTTTATCCTTATATATTTTGCCATTTTTGGAAGGTTCGTGATTTTCTCTTATTTGAAAATCGTTATTTACATGGAGATGAAATCTTCTTAAAGGATGTGAAGGATGCCAGACATCAACCTCTTCTTTCCCTCTCCGTCTGACCTCCATTATCCTCCGAATACGAACTCTTATTTTGTTGATGTAGGGTGGATCTTTCTCGAAACAACTATTTACTTTTTCTTCTGCTCCATAGTAATCCAAACAAACTATTTACTTTAAAAGCTACGATGAACTAAATATTATATAGTATGCTATTGTTTTCTTGATTTTTTGTTTTAGCTCCAAAGCTTGATCTCTCTCATCACCTAAAAAAACTGCAAATGAACTCATATGTCTTCTATACGACATTACGCATTTTTTTTCTATCTCCATTTTTTTATTCATAGATTATATAATGTTGAGATCGACTCTTTCGCAATGTTGGCTTTGTTTGCTTAGAACAATTCTTCAGTTTTATGGTGTAACCTACTCTTTATTTGTAAAAACTTAAGTTTGGTCAAAGATAGTTCACTTAAGGTTTATTTAATTCTTTATAACTAATATTTTAGTTATACAAATGTTTTTATATAATTTTTAAAATTTTAGTAAATTATATTTTTTAAAATAAATTTAATTTATTTAATTACGTTGGACTTGTGGAGTTTCTAATTTAAACCAATAATTAATTAATTTTCTTGAAATATAAAAGAAATAATTAATATAGACAAATATTATTGGCTGTTTAAAATTTGATATGATGATATAGATTAATACTATTGGTTGTTCCAAATTGGGAAAATAAATAAACTATGTAATTGTTTATGTGGACCAATAAGATGCGGTTTTATAATCTTATGTGGACACTCTTAAATGCATTTAGCCTCAAATTTTATATTAAAAACATATTTATTAAAAAATATTAACTTAATCACTTTAGACTTGGGAGTTTCTAATTTAAACAGATTATACTAAGAGAAATTCTTGAAACATAAGAAAGAAATTAACTAATTTAACAAATATAGCTAGTTTTATATAATGATATAGATTAATATTATTGGTTGTTTAAAAAATGGAAAATTTCTTATTTTTATATGATTATGTGGAATGATACTATTGGTAATTTAAAATTTTGAAACTTTCTTAATCTTGAAGATGCTTATGTGGACCAATTAAATCGTGTTTTCTAATCTTATGTGGACGTCCTTAATGGTTTATAGCCTCAACTTTTATATAGTACTAGGTATTTTACCCGCGCTCTTTTTATGTTTTTTTTTTCTTTTAATTATGAATTTCTAATTTTATATTTTTTAAGGTTTATTTAATTCTTTATAACTAATATTTTAGTTATACAAATGTTTTCTATATAATTTTTAAAATTTTAGTAAATTATATTTAAAAGATCTTAATTCATTTACGTTGGATGTGTGGAGTTTCTCATTTAAACCAATCAATTAATTAATTTTCTTGAAACATAAAAGAAGTTAACTAAGATGACGATATAGAATCATATTATTGGCTGTTTAAAATTTGAAAAAAATAAGATGATGATATAGATTAATACTATTGGTTGTTCCAAATTGGGAAAATAAATAAACTATGTAATTGTTTATGTGGACCAATAAGATGCGGTTTTATAATCTTATGTGGATACTCTTAAATGCATTTAGCCTCAAATTTTATATTAAAAACATATTTATTAAAAAATATTAACTTAATCACTTTAGACTTGGGAGTTTCTAATTTAAACAGATTATACTAAGAGAAATTCTTGAAACATAAGAAAGAAATTAACTAATTTAACAAATATAGCTAGTTTTATATAATGATATAGATTAATATTATTGGTTGTTTAAAAAATGGAAAATTTCTTATTTTTATATGATTCTGTGGAATGATACTATTGGTAATTTAAAATTTTGAAACTTTCTTAATCTTGAAGATGCTTATGTGGACCAATTAAATCGTGTTTTCTAATCTTATGTGGACGTCCTTAATGGTTTATAGCCTCAACTTTTATATAGTACTAGGTATTTTACCCGCGCTCTTTTTATGTTTTTTTTTTCTTTTAATTATGAATTTCTAATTTTATATTTTTTAAAAATTTCATTGATACAAAATCTATACAATTTTTATTTTTTATTTTTAATATTTAATATTTTAATATTTTATTTTATAATTATAGTTTCTTATTATTTAATTTCTTTATATATTTAATTTTACCAAATCAATTTAATTCTTGTATAGGTAGTCACAATAATAAAATGAATTTTATTGTGATAATTTCTTATTAAAAACATATTACAAACCTTTCTGACATTTTCTCGTAAGGCATAGAGGCTCGATCATTGGAGAAGTTACATTAATTCCTAAATTTTATTGTCCTATTGTTTCAATTGAGTATATATAGCCGAATCTCAAATTTTTGGTTAAAAAGTCTGACCGGTTTTGTCACATTTTGGGTTTAGTCATCATTCTGAAATTATAAATTCATTACCCTCGGCTTCTAGATGCAAAGATGAAGATTCAAAAAATGCGACTCTTTTGCCATTATTTTTCAAATACCTTAAATTAAATCTCATTTGTAAACCAGCATATAATTGTTGGTTTTTTCTATAGATATCTATTATTCTATTATTCAGTCATTGATAATTGTTGATTTGTAAAATTTTGTTGCCATTAAGTAACTAATATTAGTTAGCGGGTTTCATCACTCTGAAATTAGAAATTCATTATCTTCGTTTTTGAGATGCAAAGATGAAGAGTTTTTATTTTCAACGTATTTTCAAGACAATATTATTTCCATTTTAATATATAATATGATGCATATAAATCAACAAATTAATAATATGTTGATGCTTATATACAATATAATTTTTCTTTTGTTTATATTCCTATATATATTCACATATAACTTTTTTTTTAAACTAATTAGCAACATATTTTGTTCAAAATATTAAAATGAACATGTAACATATTAACAATATATAAATTTAAATGTTAAATATTTTATATTAAGAAAAACGAAATTTGAAAAAATATATATAAGAAGTAATTTAAAGATTATATATTTCATAGGAAGTAATTAAAGTTAGAATTAAGTATTAAGGAAATATCATAATAACAATTAGAAAGGAAATATTTTAAGGTTCTTATGTGGACCAATCAAATTGAATTTTTTATTTCCTTTTTCTGTCATTAGAAAAACAAAATCTATTTTTTAAACACTTTAGTATGAAGAAAAATAAAATTAAGTGTTAAGGAAATATCATAGTAATAACTAAAAAAATAAATTCTTTTAAAGTGATTATGTGGACCAATGAAATTCAGTTTCTTTAATCCTAGTTGAACACTTTTAGAGACTTATAGAATCAACTTTTATTTTAGATCATCGTATTCCTGATAGTAAAATGAATAAAATCATTGTATTCATAATGGTAAAAGGAATCACTATGCAATAAGGAAATTAGAGAAGTGGTAATTACAAAATTAGAATTATCCTAATCCTAATCTTTCTCAAACAATAATTTGTTGGATATTAAAAAAAATGTAAATTTGCTAATAAGAATAAAAAGGAAAATAGGAAATTAATTATTCAAAAAAAAAATAATGACATAGACCAATCAAATTCAATTTTAGAATAGGTGGACACTCTCTAATGCATATAGGGTCAACTTTTATTAGTAATAGATACTCCCTCCGTTTCAAATTAGTTGTCGTTTTGGCAAAATGTACCTACAAATATTTGGACGTATCTGCAATGCAAAACACGTCCAGATACGTCCAAATATTTGCAGATACATTTTGTCAAATCGACAACTAATTTGAAACGGAGGGAGTATATATATATAATAATTACCTTTGGAAAGCATTAACCAGACTTTTGACTTCAGGAAGAGTTGCATACGCATCACATATATCATCCACAGCAGTCAAAACCATTGTAAGTTTAGCGGAGAGCTCTTTGATGTAATTTAGCTGGCAGAAGTTGAAGTTGAGCTTTGCAAACTTGAGCAATGTCTCATCATGACCTTCTTCTTGTTCGTACAGAGTGATGTATTCTCTAGCAACTACTATTTCTGAGCAATGATACCTAGGTATGTACAACGCATTCTGTATATGCCTGGAGAGGTGGGGTCTAGTACTCTTTGCCAAGGACTCCAAGTGTTTCCTTGTGAAACTCAGCGCTTCGTCCAGTATATCTTCCGATGGTGCCCCTCAGCGCTTCGTCCAGTATATCTTCCGATGGTGCCCCAAGATGCGCTGCTTCATACAACTGTAGCATTCCCCTAATATCCGTGCCTAAACTTTCTTTCAGCTTTCCATCTTCACCTTTGAATCTATCAAAGACATCTATACAAAACCGGTTATATAGCTAAATTATATCAATATTCTCATGTTATTATTATATATACGTGTGAATCAAGGAAACTGGTATATATTTCTTACCACAGGACATCTTGTGTCGGTATAACCTGAAAACCTCAAACATGATGGCCATGGTCTCCAAATCATCTTCATCTTCAATTAATGCGTCCAACTTCTTGAAAGCTTGGTTAAGAAGCTCCTCGATTTCTTCCTCGTAATAGTGTGCTATACCTAGACTGATAAGCAAGTGGATGAGACGAATCCTCTCCTTGTCGCAGCTCTCAGAAAACAAGAGCATTTCTCTCACTTTTGGCTGCATCGTCGATTCAATCTCTACCGCGAGTGCATCAAAACCCTACAAATATTAAGATATAAGAACTCGATATTGGATAATATTGTAGCAAGACTGATCGTATCGCACAGGTGTACTTACAGATTCGTCGACTTGAATGGAGAGGAAGTGATCACCCCAAAACGAGGGAGGAAAGTTAGCCAAGGGACGAGTACTCTCGAGATCGACACTACCTCGCTCAGTAGTAGCCCTAACACGTAACAAAACGTCGTGTTTTGCGGGTTTCATGGAGGAAAAACTGTTGTTTTGAAGCAAATGGCTAGGGAAAAGAGAGGGCGTGTTGGGTTTAAGACATAGAGGTAGAGTTTTAAGAACAAAACCCATTCTTGCTGCTTCCATGTTTAGTAACTGTCAAGAGCGATTACTACAGACGTAATAATATTAGAGGTACAGTAAAACCTCTATAAAGTAATAACGTTGGGACCGTGATATTTTATTACTTTAACGAGATTATTAATTTATCGAGAGATAATTAGACCAAAAACTTAATTCGGGATTCAAAAATTCTATTCATTTATCGAGGTATTACTTTATCGAGTATTACTTTATAGAGGTTCTACTGTAATCTGTTTTGGTTGAAGTACTCTGTTTTTAGTTTTTACTTATGTTTGATTTCAATCTGAAAAGACTTCATCTCATAGTAGTTAAACATGGAAGCTATGTTGTCAGTGGTCAGGAAAATTTTAATTTATGTTTTATGTAATAATATAGGAAATTAATTTCTGAAATAAGATAATAATAGTTAACCCTACTTACAAGCTTGTAACCCTTCTCGTCAATTTTATTTTATTTTCTACCAACATTTTAAAATCTGACCGAAAATAATCTAGTGTTGACTCTAAGTTTAAGACTGTCGCTGGAGCAGTCTGACCGCTTCTTTAATGTCCGAAAAAACTGGATATTTTGTTTCCTTTCATTTAAGACGTCCACGTATCCCTTTTATCCAAACCTTCCAGTCACTGAACAACTATGAGTTGATTTTTTGAGAAGACACCCTAATTTTTGTTGATAATAAGCGGATGCTCAGCATTTCGCGCAGAATTATGTTTCAGTGTAAGATCTTGGAAAAATGCGGAGAGGCAGACAATGTCATTAATGGGTAGCCCAGGTTCTTATTATAAACCTAATTTTTAGCCATAGGTTTCAATCCACTACACATGTAACATGGTTACATTTAGACCATCTCCAACCCCTCATGCCATATGTTATTGCAAATGGCAAAAATATAGCAATAGCATTGGGTTTCTCTCCAACCCCTCATGCCATATATCATGCTATAATTTTTTTCCAACTTATTATTAATTGTTAAAACTACTTGATTTCTTCAAATTTTACAAAGTGAATCATTTGTTTTTCTTTTTTTGCAAAAACAACCAGAATTATATTTTTTTTATTATAATATTAAAACAAAATACATCATATTACATAAAAATTATAGAAAACAAAGATTTTAACCTATTGTTTTATGTTTTTTGAATTTCAGTATTTTTAAAAATAAAATTTTAAGTTTATTATGGTTATGTTTTTATATTTCTATGAAATAAATATTATTTATATTTTGAAAAAGTTATGAGTATTGTTTATTTATTTAAATAAATCATAATCAATATAATTAAACTGTTAAATTAAAAGTAATTACAAATTGAAGGACTATTTTATAAATAAAAAAGTTCAATGGCAAAATAGCATATTGCATAATCTCATGCCAAATATAGAAGCAAAAATAGCATGATGCTATTTTGCAATAGCATATGCAATTGGGTTGGAGCAAAAATTATGGCAAAATAGCATATATGTCATATTTAGCATGGGTTGGAGATGCTCTTAAGATGCACATGCAAGACTCGGTTAGGGCTGTTGCCACATATATTATCCACATATATTATCCATTAGATTACATTCTTGTACCTTAAATATATTAAGTGACTTAAAAAAAAAATTCATGAGATTTAAGTTACATTAAAGATTTAATATTAAAAATTACATTGAAAAATGTAAACACAACTAAACGAAACAAAAAATTAAGTTTAAATCAACAACTAAAATGAAATGAAGAAAGTAAAAATATTAATCAGAAGCCTCTGCTAGTACTACTAGCATTGAGATACTCAATTATCAATTCATTTCTTTAAGACGAAAAAACCTTATTTTGAATTGACAAATAAAAGACATATCATTTCTTTTAGAGTTCAAACGAGAATTGTTTCGGTTTGGTTTCGGTTCGGGTTTTTTCGGTTAATAAAAAGTAGCTGCTATATTAGAACAATACTTATTTCGGTTTGGTTCGGTTTGGATAGTCTCGGTTATTGATTTTATTGGTTTGGATATTTTCGATTCGAATAATCTCGGTTTTGGGTTATTTGTACTTTTTTTATTATTATTTTATTCTATAGATACTTTACTTTTTCTGGTAACCGAATGATCAAATTCAAATATGAAAATGCAAATTTATGTCTTATTTTAAAGTATAAACCTCTAAAGATCTAGATTTAAACCTAGTATTTAGGATTTTTAATTATTAAATTTTGGTAAACTAAAGATATATAATTCTATATGAGATTACTCTAAACTTATATTATTATATATCATATGTGTATACTATATACTATTATATTAATGTATAAAACTATTCGGTTTTTTTGGTATTTGCGGTTCGGTCGATTAATATCCACAGTTTATATAAAATTGTATTCATAGGGTTTATACGGTGTATCCAAATCCAAACCACATGATCTATTTCGGTTCGGTTTGGATCGGTTCAGTTCGGTTTTAACAAATTGAACAGCTCTATTTCAAATGGTCTAAAACTCTAAATCATATATATGAATAGGGCCCATCCCTTTCCATATAGTTGACACCTGGATGCAAAAGAGTCTGACACGTGTACACACAATTATAAAAGTTGATACATCTCCTCGAATAACTTCCATTTATTGATCGTCGACATGTAACGCTTCCTATGAGAACATCTCTGAACTTCTCTTCTCTATCCCTTTAATACTTCTGTCATCTCTCCATATTGAGACCGTTAGATGTTCGATCTTCAAACGGCCAAATTTAATATCTGTAATCAAAACTATATTCATCCTTCAATTTCTAAACATTAAGAACTAAATCGAGGATTGTGGCCGGCGGAGTCATCTTAGATGTCAACTACAAAAATCTGTCCTCACTGCTGGACACAAAGAGTGTGATGATTGCCTCTGTTTCTCCTCACTTCCGTCCCTAAGTGCCTTTCTATCCAACCCAGTGATGAAGTTGCCGTTGCTCACATCTCCCAGCTTGATCTTAAGAGATTGCAATTTTGTCTTCTGCTGGGGTATTCCTTCCAGGTTGGCTCCAAAAAACTCTTATTGTGCCTTCCTCTGTCAATAGCTTTGTAGATAATGGCACCAAACTTTGAATGGTTTCTGATTGCAATTTAAGAGAATTTTGATATGCTGAAAAGAGATATCTTTTAAAGGTATCCTTTGTGACCTGAATTTTGATATGCTGAAAAGAGAAAACTCATATATATATCAGATTCGCAAAACAGCACAGTCATCGTGTTTGGAGGTAATTATATATGTGTTTTCAGATATTAGTTACGTTTCACTCCATTTTTGCATCGCTTTCATGTGGGATCTCTCTTACTAATGTCATCTTGTTATGTTTCAGCTTTTCTCGATACTTCATGAATGCTGGTTTAAGGCTTTAAGCACCAACGTTTGATTCAAATAAAGTTGGCGCGCATGATTTTAACTGCAGCCTACACTTTCTTACCATGAAACTTATGGGAATAAGGAATAAAAAACGTTCCTTCTAAGCCCATAGGAGGCTACAAGATATCTCTACCGAATTGAGGTAAAATTTTGCTGCTTCTCTATCTGTAATATTTTGTTACTCAACTAATCTTTGTTCTTAGAAAGCATGAATGGTTTTTCTTAGGCTCAATCTAGAAATACATTTTAGTATCTATCATAATTAATGATTACTCTCAATCAAGATTAATCGTCGCTTTAATCTATAATATAAGCAGACATACTTGAACTAGATGTAACATTGCAGTTTTAAAGATGGGAATAGGGAGAAAGAGATTGATTTCACCTTCTACAAAGACCAAAAGGATTCGTGGATGTGAAAATAGACAAGAAAAAAGTAAGTAAGTTCTGCTTTCATCATCATCGTTATCACGTACTTCTTCGTTTCCACCATCATTATCATGTTCTCTTATTCTTATTTTTCTCGATTTTACCTTCATTTTCTCCATTGACATAATTCTAACGCTTGACATTTACCCCAAAAAAAAGGAGGCATCATATTACAAAACATTTTATACAAGTTAGATGCTGAGAAAATATCAGAAATGCAAAGCAGAGAAAATATCATTCTAAGTCCACCAGTTGCTTCATCTTCCATGCTGTATCAACACTCTATTAATTGATATTGTGGCATGACTTTTCCTCTTCTTTCCCATCAATAACTCTAAATCTTATACATTTCAACTTATGATACTAAAAATCACTCTATTAATCCAAGGCTTTACATTTCGGCTTCCATCTTAGGTTACTATTAAACATATAAATTCTCCTAATATATAGAGAAATGGATTTAGCAAGATGGCGGAAAATCAGAGTCCGTTCTATGTGGTTATAAGTAAATAAAGAGAGTTAATGGTTCATAAACATGTGGTATGATACAAAAATATATGTTTGAAAGTCAGTCGCTAACCAACAAATAGGAATTAAATATGGATATTACTGGACTATACTTCATAATATTAATCGCAAATCTAAAATTGTTTTCGAGCATTTTTTAAAAACTTTTACAACAACAAAACCCGCGCGTATGCGCGGGCATTAGTCTAGTAGAGTTGAATGCGCGTGTCTTTTCAATACAGTCTTTTTATTTTTATATTGGACATCTAATTTTCGAATAAAGTTATATTCTCATTAATTAACTCTAACAATCCAGAGTAAAAATTACGTTACAAATCATGAAACATCCTCTCTATTATTGGATTGGACTTGTAAAATTTTAAAGTCAGAAGGACAACATAGTACTCTGTTTTGATTAAAGTACTCTGTTTTGATTAAAGTGCACTGTTTTTAGGTTTTATGTTTATTGCATAAGCTTTTCTTCTGCATTTTGTGTTTTTTTATGAGTCAACATGGAGGCTAATATTCCTTCAAGTTTCAGTTCCCATCATCATAATCCTTAAGTCATTTGGGAGGCTGAAACATTTAACAAGGATTTTAAATGAAAAATAAAAAGAGAGTAATCGTTACAGAAACTTATTGAACAAGAAACGAATTTTATCTTGAATGGGTTTTACAACACAAGCGTTCGGGGAAAAGTGTCTAAATTTGCAAAACGAAAGTAAATGATTCTTATAGATTCAAGTTGTTTCCAGCTTTTACAAGGTTTTTAAGAGGAAATGGATACATCTTGATTGGGTTTTCAAAGCTCTTTGTTTAACACTTGTTTGGACTTGTAAAAACTTGTACATCAAGTTCTCATCTTCACACCATCACTATCTGATTTTTCTTTTTTTTTTTTTTTTTTTTTTTGGTCACCCACCATCATTATCTTATAATTCTCTCTTTCCATCCTCCTCAATTCTTCAATCACTGCTTCTTTGGTAACGCCATATTGTTTCATGTAACAGTTGACACCAGTGGCCACATACTTGGTGAAAATCTTAAGCTCTTTGACTTAATCCATATGACAACATTTGAAGTTAAGCTTGGCAAACTTTAGTAGCGTCTTGTTGTGATCTTCTTCTTGCTCGTAGAAAGAGATGTACTGTCTTGCGACTAATATCTCCATGCTATGACGATATCGAGCTCTATACAATGCGTCTATATCATAGCATAGAGATACTAGTTATCTTAGTACTCCCTCTAAGGCTCTAACATCCTTTGCCAGACTATGCTTCAACTTCCCATCTTCACCTTTGAATCTCTTGAACACGTCTGCACAAATTCGATGTAACCAAATGTATAAAAATATGTATATAAAGCTAAACATGGAAACCAATATAGTCCCTTAAGTTGTTAATTATACCGCAAGACATGTTGTGTCCGTAGTCTGAAAACCTCAAACATGACTGCGACTGTGTCCAAGCTGTCCTGGAAAGCCTTGTTTAGAAGCTCTTCCTTTTCAAAATAATGCGAAACACCGAGGCTGATAAGCAGCAAATAGATCAACGGAATCCTCTCCTTGTCACCGTTGTGAGAAGACATGAGTGTGTCTCCTACTTTTGGCTTCATCACCGATTCAAGCTAACGCTCAAGTATACCAGATTCCTACAAAACAATATACGACACATCTCATTATCTCAATAACAAAAAGACATGTTGATATGGAACAAGACTGGTCAAGTGTTTTACCAAAAAAAAAAAAAGACTGGTCAAGTGTACGTACAAAGCAAAGGGAGAAGAAAGATAGATAGGGAAGCTGGTTTTGAGAAGGAGAGGGACATTCTTAAGGTGAAGGGAGAGTTTTAGGACGAAAACCCAATTTTTGCTGCTTCCATGTTTAGTGAGAGATTAAGATCTACTCTGTTTCCATAGACGTACTCTTTTTTATATCGATCTAGAAGTTGGTGGAGAGGCTAACACGTTTTTAGTAGGAGTAAAATATAAAAATGAATAATCTCAGTAGATCGGAACAACTCGAATCTTAAAACAAAGAAAGCTATGCTAATTGCTAAATGATCGTTTTTTTTCGAACAACAGCTGAATGATCTTTAAAAAAAAGAATTAGTCATTACGCAAGTGTGTGGAACAAGAATCAAATCTTATTTTATTCGACTACTGGTTTGTTGGTTGAATACAAATGGGTGGATGTCAAAACATCATCCATTGGGAAATCCAGACGATCACGTGATCAAGTTATCTGTTTATTTTCCAACGATCGTCTCTTATCAATAATGTTGAACGAGCATTTATTGGATAATTGTAATATATATAGATTCAATATCTATTGAACTCATGATTAAATAACAAAGAGTTCTTAGACTAATCTTTTGTTCATCATGCCACATGTAATTGTAACGTGTCGACACTCTTACTTGATATTCCCTAACTCCCATGTGAAAGCTTAGTTTTAGACCATTGGCTTTTACTTCCTTCTTAATTCTACCAAGGGTAACGACATAATTCTTGCTCGAACTCAAGAATTTTTTTCTCTAACAGCGAAGATGATGTTATGCCTTATCAGAGGGATGATGTGTAAGAAGATGACGTGCTTGAGGATGATGCGTCCATCTTCCAAATTAAAAAGAGAAGAATCATGTAGACTTGGTTTACAAATTTCGAAGCGAATAATACAAAATACTATGGAATCTTGGGGATCTAAATGTGGAACTGTGGAAGTAGCCAAATAGGCCATATATCTCAACATTGTTTATAACAATTTATTAGTTGCACAAACATGTTTAAAGATCACTCAGCTGATTTTATTAAAGATCTTCAAAGATGAAAGGGATGGAGGAGCACAGCGGCAATGAATTGTTTGATCTTTGCTTGGGGATTGGTGTATTCATCATTATGCTCCTTGTAAAACACTTCCATGGGGCGTGCAATGTTAATGCACCGAACAAGAACTGGACGTGGCACATCTTTGATCGTCAAGAACTCCTCCATTATCATCTTATAGTTATATTTATACATCTTATTCAATTCCTCCATCGCTGCTTCTTTGCTTACACCATGTTGCTTCATATAACAATTCACTCCATTCGCCACCTCTCCTCTGCTTATCTCCAACTGTTTATATCCAATCACACGAAAACAACTAGGGTTATTTTAACCAAATTAATATCGTTTATATTTTTTAAATGTTTTTTTTTTGTTAACCTCGTAGGTGGCTATATCATTCTTGAGACGAAACACAGCATGCAAAGGTTGAAAGATTTTTGGCCTAGTTTGGAACCACTCGTTCGTTTGCTTCTCATCACAATCTTCCATGGCGATAATGCTGTAAGCTAGCAAGACACACATCCCTGAAGTCACAAGCCCAACCTCCATGTACTCCTCAAACGTTGGCACGTGACCTATACGTGCCCATTTGGCTAAGTCTAGGTAACCCCTTCCAAGGGTTTTCACCTCCTCTGCCATTAGCTTTACACTAGCCAATCTTCCTCGTGGCTTCATTTCTTTTTCAATCTCTTCCACGGTGTCCAACATACTTTGGACAGCGATTCTTATATGGCTTGGAAGTTCATCAGCAGCACCAAGTTCCCATCTGATCAAAATGCAAGTCGAGTTATTCATATTTGATTAATGAAGTATATTAAATAACTTAATTATAGGATCTATCTACCTTTGTAAATAAGAAATGAAAGTCTCAACTTCTGGAAGAGTTCCAAATGCATCGCATGTATCATCCATTCCAACACCAACAATGAGGAGTTTAGTGAATATAATTCTTCCTCGTGAATATTTTGGCTCGAAGTAAACTATAAGCGCCGAGATAAAAGTCTCCACAAGCCTATCCCTCATGTAAGGTAGCTTAGATGGAAGATCTAAATCCTTCCACCATCTGAAATTATACATAACACTTGAAATGTAAAAAAGCAAGAAAATCAAGACAGAAGCGATCACTCCTAAAATAAACACATTGTGAAAAACCACATATAGTGTGGGTACTGGGTACGTACTTGGTGAGGTGTTTAAGCTCTTGGACGTAATGCATCTGGCAAAAGTTGAAGCTGAGCTTCGCAAACTTGAGTAGCATCTCGTCGTGCTCTTCTTCTTGACAATAGAAAGAAATGTAATCTCTTATGGATAGTATTTCCATATTCTGATATCGAGCTCTATACAACGCGTTACGAATATGTCTAGAGATATTAGGGTTACTGCTCGCTTCTTGGACGGACAAAGACTCCAATTGATTCCTCGTGGAAGTAAGCAATTCTTCCATTATATCTTCAGAGGTTGTCCCGAGATGTGCTGCTTCGTATAGCTGCAACATTCCTTTAACATCCTTGGCAAAACTTACCTTCAACTTACCATTATCACCTTTAAATCTTTCAAAGGCATCTGTACGAAAAATTAGATGTCATGTTGTGACTTGTGAATCAAGTAAACTGTTGTAAATACCTTAAGACATAACTTGTGAATCAAGTAAACTGTTATAAATACCGCAAGACATATAGTGACCGCGTAGTCGAAAAACCACAAACATGATTGAGATTGTTTCTAAATCATCTTTGCTTTCAGCAATTAAGATGTCCAACTTCTCAAAAGCCTTGTTAAGGATCTCATCGATCTCGTTTTCAAAGTGAAACGAGATACCGAGGTTGATTAGCAAGTGAATCAGCCGAATCTTCTCCTTGTCTCCGCTTTGAGAAGACATGAGCATGTCTCTCACTAGCGGCTTCATCACTGATTCGATCTCTCGATCAAGCGCATTGAATTCCTGCGAAGATACAATAAGAAATCTTGTACTTCTCCAACAGGACTGATCATGGAAACACGTCTTGTTAGTGTAATATACTTACAGATTCGTCAAAGGGAACAGAGAGGAAATGATCGCCCCAGTAAGAGGGAGAAAACTGGATCAAGGGACGAGTGCTCTCAAGATCACTACGACTCTCAGTAGTGCCCTTAACACAGAACAAGTGTTGTTTTGCGGGTTTTCGGAAAAAAATGTGATTTTGGAGCAAACGCCGAGGAAAAAGACAGAGGTTGGTCTCTAGACAGAGAGGGATGTGACGGATTTGAGGAAGATTTCTCAGTCCAAATCCCATTCTTGTTGCCTCCATAGCGATACAGATGAGAAAAATATTACTACTCTGTTTTTTTTCCTGTTTTGGTCGAATTGCTCTGTTTTACGTTTAATTTATATTTCAACTGCAGTCTGTTTATAGTTTAAAAAAAAAACTAAACTACGTACACATGTAAAGGTGGTCGTATTTAAGATGCCCACATGCAAGTCTCTGTTTCTCTTGCCACGTAAATTCTCTCTTATTTATGTCAACTTATCGATGAGAAGATGTCCAACTTCCAAACCGGCACCATTAACGGATCTATGGATCTAAAGAGAGAAATATGTTTTCTAAGGTCGACCAGAATCAGAGGTATCAATTTTTTTTATAAAGTTGTGTTTTCTGTGTTTCTTGGAGGGAATAAGTATTGTTTTAATTTGTAGCAAACTACGAGTGGGGGGGATTGTGAATCTAAGGGAGAGTTTCAGGACCAAAATATATTCTTGATGCTTCCATTTGTAAACATTGTTTAGTCACCAAAACATATTCTTGATGATTCCATTGTAAACATTAGTAAGAGTAAGTTTTGCCTTTAGGACCTATGTTAGAATCGAAACAGAAACGGAAACGTCCAGGCAAAACGTCTATTTTTAAAATTTTAAGATTGAAAATGTATAACATTATATACATATATGATACGTTATATAGTTTATTAATTAAAAATAAATATTATAATGTTCATTGTTAAAACTTGAGTCTTTTCTATTATTATTTTATGAGTTTCATCAGCCAGCCGAAACTATCTTAAACTCTAGTTTATCAAGAGAAAACTCCTCAAATTCAATAATGATAAGATTATTTACATCCAATGAATCAAATTAATCATGAGTTTATCTTAAAGAATTGAATTATTCGTTTGATCTTATTATTTGTTTGTAATTATTTACTCATTATGTTTTGAAATGCAAGAAGTAAGTTTTTGTCATGTTTTCAAAGAGTTTCCATTTACATTTCCAAACTGAAATTTTTAGGAGAAGTTTTGTGTGTTCTGTTTTTGAAATGAGAAACGCAACTCGGGCGGAGTTTATTTGCGTTCTCATCTCTACTCTGTTTTAAATTGGCCGACAAGGATGAAACTTCCAAAAAGATAGATTAATAATTAAGGAATTTTTTAAGACAGTCAAATCGTCAATTAGGATTTCGTGCACATGAGGATCGAAAATATAAATAGTATCATGTCACAAAAAAACAAACGATCATTATATACGGATCGTGAGAGATCACCTCCACTAATGGAGTGTCTGAATACATTTTCAATCAGCGTAGTACCTGTTTATTTAAAGAGTAAAAAAAATAGTATCTAAAGTTCTCTGGAAACTATTGATGAAAAGAAAAATTATATAGATATGCATGCAATATAGTTAACTAATCATCGTAGTACTTGTTTATATTTTCGTTGTCTACTTCGCATGTCTTATCCAATGCTTCTTAAGAAGTCAACGACCGGGATGAGACGAGTTTCAGTTTCCAAGCAGAAAAATTATCGGAAAGAGACGAGTTCCATATTCGATTAGGGTTTCGATACACACGGAAATTCACAACCACAAGATCACCTTCTTCTTATTATTATAAACATGATATACGTGTCTCTCACTTAAAAATGTCTCCCATGTGCAAGCTTCGTTTTAGGGCTTGTACACATGGGAAGCGGGAAAGTGGTAGTTTATAGGGAAAGCAATTAATAGAGCAATAAAAAAAAAGTCTGGAAAATAAACAAGACGAGAGATCAAACTCAAGATTGCTTGCAAAGAATCAATTGTTTCTTGAGGCAATGTAGCTAGCAAGAGCCACTAGAGGTGCTGCCTTTTCAGAATCAAACCCTAAAAGCTGTTCCTCTGCTTCTTTCCTCAAGTTCTCCGCCAGTTCCTTCGATTTCTCCAAACCAATCAGCCTCGGATACGTAAGCTTTCCGGCGATGACGTCTTTTCCGGCGGTCTTACCCAATTCCTCGGTAGATCTCGTCACGTCAAGAATATCATCAACCACCTGAAACAAATGCCCAATACATCTTGCGTACTTTCTAAGCTTCTCGACCTCTTCCTCTGTTCCTCCTCCCATTATTACCCCTAAAACCGCCGCCGCCTCCAACAACGCTGCCGTTTTGTGGAGGTGGATGAACTCTAGATGCTCAAATCCGACGTCGTCTGGATTCAATCCTTCGCTGCGTAGGTCTACCACTTGTCCAGCCACAAGCCCTTTTGTCCCTATGGCCTTTGCCAGCTCAATCACCGCACGGACCGTCCTCTCCGGAGCCACCAACCCACTCGACACAACCGTCATGTGCTCAAACGCCAAAGCAAGCAGTGCATCTCCCGCCAAAACCGCCATGTCTTCTCCAAATACCTTGTTTTGATGAGCAAAGATTGGTATCAACACTTGTGAGCATGCGTTTACATCAACGAATGTTTGGCTTAACAACATACCTTATGGTTGGTGGGTTTGCCTCTGCGGAGGTCGGCATTGTCCATACAGGGAAGGTCGTCATGAATAAGAGAGCTCGCGTGGATCATCTCTACCGCGCAAGCTGCTGACATGGCAGTAGTCTCGTCGCCGCCAACAAGCTCGCAGGCGGCGATGCAGAGCAGAGGCCTTACACGTTTCCCTCCAGCTAGCAATGAGTACCGGACAGCCTCTTGGATCGTGAGGGGTTTCAGAAGCGGTACGGAAACGTCGAGAGCGGAGCTTACGGATTCGGCTTTACGGATCATATACGACTTGAAGTCAAATGAGGAGTTGTGATCATTTCCTTGTGGTGGATTCATGTGCCCTCTGCCTTGCGAGTTGAGAGAAGCAGAGAGAGATAAAACGTTGCGTTTTTGGAGATTGTTGACTGAGGTTAGGGAGTTATATCTTCTTCCTCTGGATTGGATGAAGAGGGAGGATGAGCTGAGATGAACAGTAGTAGCCATGGTCAATACACCTTCTCCAATAGTGCACATTAAGAGGTCCACATGCTCTTAATAGATTTCTTGGACTTGGAAGCAATGAAGGTCAACTTCTTTACTGTTGTTGCAATTATTAATTAGGGGATGAAGGAGTCACGATGTCTGTACATATATAATATAACCTAAGAAGTTCAATTATATTAATTAGAATAACTGAATGCATTTCAGAATTCGTTAATGAGTTAGTAGAGGAAGTTCTAGAAATAATTTGACTTTACAACCCAAGATGTGAAGTCTGATTACACCATTATAAACCTTTTTCCCAGTACTTTATTCAAGATATTGTGAACTATTAAATAATTTTTGTGAAATCTGATCCTAGAACACTATGAGTGTCTTTAACTTGTGGGACACTTAATCATAGTAAGTAAAATACAGAGAATCAGGTCCTTACACTGCATAACTGATTTTCTCTAGGGGAACACGATGGGTTATTTGTAGCCACGAGACAAGCTAAGCTCTTGATCTGCGAGAGAACAGCAAGTAATCAGAAAAATTGCAAAAAGCTGATACATAAGAGAGTCAGATAACATAAGCTGGTGTGAAAAACGAGCCACCTGCGAGTGAGTTTTGAACTAACAAGAGATAAACCATACTCATCTTCACAATTCTGCAGAGCTTAGATCACTGCAGACAATGCAGATGTTGTGCGGAACACACTAATGAAAGTGGAGAGCTTTGGATAAAAAAAAGTCCCATCTTATTAAACCAACCTTACATGCTCTCGATTTGGTAATATCTGCCAAGTAAACCGCGTCTTTCATTGGCAACTTCTAGGAAAGTTAATAAGCTGCAAATAATTTGGTCATGCTCACACTCTAGAGAGGCATGGCTAAAACTTCCCACAGGCTTTTATATATGAGATCCATGAGGTGCTATAATTAACACTGAGATCTCATTCCTTCTGTCTCACTGTTATAAACATACCAAAACCCATCTTTGAAACAACCATCAAATGTAGCACAATTATGATAACAGAATTTTGTGGTTCTCAGGGGCAAATATTCGACCAAAATTTACCACATGTCCCATGCAGCCAACCGAGGGTAGCGATCGATCCTGGAAGCAATGAACCGCGCTTGACCCATTCCTCAACATGCGATCAAAGCATCCGGCCGGCCGAACGCACCGGTCGAGCAGGAAGGCAAAGGACCACGGTCGACCCAGATCATCATCTCACGACCAAGACCATTACATCACGGCCGACCCCGACGGCCGACCACATCCCTTGCACGGTCGACCCGATCTCCAGGTCCTTCCGTGAATCGTGATCTGAGAATCGCAGTCAATCAGGGGTTTTGCTTGATTTCATAAAATTGCGGGGTTTCTACGTTTCGGACAAGAACGAAAGTAGAAAACTGGGGATTTGGAAGAGTAGACGCCAACAATGTGTCTGCCATGTCCGAAAATTTATTGAAATTAAACTTGATTTTGATCAAGGTTTAATTTTGGGTCCATAAACAAATTATTATTAAACCCAAAATTAGGCCCAAGTTCTAGAACTCTCTAGAAACATCATAAGAGGTCATCACTTCCTCAAATTTTCTAGAGAATTCTACTAGATAACTCTCTAGATATTTATGTAGAACTTTCTAGTTCTTGTAAGACAAAAATCTAGATATTATGTTAGAGAGTTCTAGAGATTAGGATAAACTTGTAAGATAATTTGTAGAAAGTTGTAGAAGAAGAAGAAGAAATATCTAGGACCTAAGGAGGTTATAGAAGAGTGTAGAAACTTTGTAAGTAGATTTGGGAGGCTATAAATACCTCCTCACCCCCTCATTTGTAAATGCACAAGAAATTGAACAAGTTAATAAAGAGTGTTCTAAAGCTAAGTTCTCTCTTGTTCTTCTTAAAAGTCTTTCAAGTATTCTCTTGTGTTCTTCCATATTTCTCTTCATACTTAGAGGGTTTATTGTTTCTTTCGGGTTTCTCGGGTATTACGGTCTTGGGCTAGTGCTAAGCACTATCGGTGCTGGTTTCTCTACATGGTATCAGAGCCATTCTAATCTTGTGCTCATCAAGATCGGGATTTAGGAGAACTCGGGTTTACTCTAAGTATGGAATCAATGGGTCGTGTTGTTGGATTGGGAATGGAGATCTTAAACCAATCTAACTACCGGTTATGGAAGTCATGTATGGAGTCATACTTGGTGAGTGAGGACTTATGGGATGTCGTCGGCGGCAGTAGCACCACACCACCAATGGGAGCTGCTGCGACAGCGGAAGCGACAAAGGAATGGACACGGAAGAATGCCAAGGCGGAGTTTGCATTGAAGAGGTCAATATCCTCGGGAGTATTTGAGCATGTCTCAAGGTGCACATCCGCTAGTTCCATTTGGCAAGCGTTGGACCAACTGTTCAACAAGAAGAATGAGGCTCGTCTACAACTGTTAGAGAACGAGTTGGCGAATGCGAAGCAGGGGGAGTCTTCAATCTCAGAGTTCTTCATCAAGGTAAAGAACCTTTGCTCTGAGATTAACACTCTTAATCCGGAGGAGTCTATTTCGGAAGCTCGGTTAAAGCGGTCTATTATTCGTGGTTTACGACCCGAATATACACCGTTTGTGACTTCCGTTCAAGGATGGGCTACACAACCTTCCTTGGAGGAGTTTGAAAATCTGCTAGCTTCGCAAGAATCCTTAGCCACGCAAATGGCGGGAGTCAAAATCCATGATGACTCGGGGAGCGCTTTTGTAGCTCGGAGGCAACAGAGCTACAAAGGAAAAACCAAGAATGATGGTGTAAAGAATAATGATGGACGGGAAAGATCTTCTACGGGAGACAAGAAGCAGTTCAAGTGTTACCGGTGTGGAAAGCTTGGGCATTTCAAAAAGGACTGTCGGGTCAAGCTGAAGGAAACCAATATGGCGGAATCAAAAAGTCATACTGAAGACGAAGATTGGGGGAAATGTTTCACGGTGGAGGCTGCATCTTCAGGTACATCCACAACTAAAAATCTTGGAAATGATTGGATTGTGGATTCGGGTTGTAGCCATCATATTACCGGAAACGAGAAGTTATTTTCTAGTCTTCAACGTCATGACGGGAAAGAAGCTATTATCACTGCGGATAATTCAATCCACCGGGTTGAGAAGGAAGGGACTATTGTTATTGAAGGAGAAGAAGGAGGCCCAATCACTCTCAAGAACGTATACCATGTCCCTGGAGTTAAGAAGAATCTTCTTTCCGTGGTGAATGCGGTGGACTCAGGTAACTACGTTTTATTTGGACCAAAAGACGTTAAATTCTTGAAGAATATTCAAGAGTTAAAGGCGGACGTAGTTCACACCGGAGCACGGGTTAAAGATCTTTATGTCTTATCGGCCTCAAATTCGTACATTGAGAAGATGAGTACGAATGATAATGCTTTTATTTGGCATGCTAGGCTTGGCCATATAAATATGACTAAGCTGAAGGCTATGGTGAATAAAGATCTGGTTAATGGGCTCCCAAAGTTGAAGATTCAAGATGAAGGAAAGCTTTGTGAAGGTTGTCAATATGGAAAATCACATAGACTTCCATTTGACAATTCTACTTCACGATGCAATGCTCCGTTGGAGAGGATCCATAGTGATTTGATGGGTCCGACGAGAACATCCTCCTATTCCGGGTTCCGCTACATGCTGTTGTTCGTTGATGATTACTCACGGTACACCTGGGTATACTTTGTGAAGGAAAAGTCAGAAGTATTCTCCAAGTTTCAAGAATTCAAGGTTACCGTGGAAGGAGAGTTGGGTCGGAAAATCAAGACCTTAAGGACGGATAATGGAGGGGAGTTTATGTCAAACGAGTTTCTCTCTTTCTGCCGAAAGCATGGTATCAAGAGAGAATTTTCATGTCCATACACACCTCAACAAAATGGAGTAGCAGAAAGGAAGATAAGGCATCTAAGTGAGACGTGTAGAAGCTGGCTACATGCGAAGAATTTGCCTAAGGCTCTATGGGCAGAAGGGATGAGATGTGCAGCCTATGTCATCAATCGGATGCCGCTTAGTCCAAATAATATGAAGTCTCCTTATGAGATGGTTCATGGGAAGAAGCCAACAGTGAAACATCTCAGGATATTTGGATCTATCTGCTATGTCCATGTGTTCGACTCTCAAAGAACCAAGCTGGAGGCAAAGGCGAAAAAGTGCATCTTTGTCGGCTATGATGAACAAAGGAAGGGGTGGAGGTGTATGGATCCAGAGACACACAGATACACTGTATCTCGTGATGTTGTCTTTGATGAAGTGTCTTCATATTACGGATCTCCTCAAGTCTTGGTTGAGCAAGATGGTGCGGGCTCACTTAAAGACGATGAACCAGCTGCTCAGATACCAAGTGATGGTGGAATTTCTGAACCAGAGATGCAAGGTGAAAGGGGGAGCACTAACCAAGAGGAAGAGGAGGAGGAAGATCATGGTTCCTTGGCTAATCAACGACCAAAACGGGACATCGTTAAACCTGCTCGGTACAGAGATGAAAGGTTTGTTACTACTTACTCATGCTACTTTGCATCTCCTTTTGATGAAGAAGAACCATCATCTTATGATGAAGCAAAAGGAGTTAAAGAGTGGGAGACCGCAATGAAGGAGGAGATGGATGCTCTAAAGAAAAATGAAACTTGGGATTTGGTTCCAAAACCCAAGGATGTCCAACCCGTCTCATGCAAATGGGTGTACCGGATCAAGCGTAAGAGGGATGGAAACATTGATAGACACAAAGCAAGATTGGTTGCTCGGGGATTTTCTCAGAAGTATGGAGAAGACTATGATGAGACTTTCAGTCCAGTGGCGAAGATGACTACGGTACGTACACTCTTATCTTTAGCTGCAAGCTTTGGCTGGAAGTTATGGCAGTTAGATGTGAAGAACGCTTTTCTATACGGAGAACTTGATAAAGAAATCTATATGGAGCAACCACTTGGTTACATATCACAAGAGCATCCCGATTATGTTTGCAAGCTAAAGAAGGCTTTGTATGGGTTAAAACAAGCTCCAAGGGCCTGGTATGGAAAGCTTGCTCAGTTTCTTCAGTTTTGCGGTTACTCTCCGTCGAACTCTGATCCGAGTCTGTTCTTCAAGAAGAATGGAGGAGTCCACGTGGTAGTCCTTCTTTATGTGGATGACTTGATAATTACCGGGAATGATGAAGCGGAAATTGCTCGTCTGCAAGAGGATATGTCGATAAGGTTTGAGATGAAGATGTTGGGTGAGCTGAACAACTTTCTTGGTTTGGAGGTTGAAAGGATGAAGGATGGAATATTCATCGGCCAACATAGCTACGCAAGAAGGATTGTAGAGAAGTTCGGGGTACACGAAGGAAAGACACGTACTACTCCGATGGATGCGAACATCAAGCTGAAGCGCGATGAAGGATCCTTGCTACCCGATCCTCGGCCTTATCGTTCTCTTGTGGGAAGTCTTCTATACTTAACCATTACAAGACCTGACATTTCCTTCGCGGTTGGTCTTGTAAGTCGGTTTATGCAGTCACCAAGGAAGCCACATCTAGAAGCGGCAAAGAAGATCTTGAAGTATGTGAAGACAACTCTTGGCATGGGTCTAATGTACAAGTACAATGCCAAGGTCTCTCTCTATGGCTTCACGGATGCTGACTTTGGTGGAGATCTAGATGGTCGAAAATCAACTTCGGGCTTTGTGTTCTTGTGTGGAGACACAAGCGTTTCATGGTGCAGCAAGAAACAAGCAACGGTGTCGCTGTCTACCACTGAAGCGGAGTATAAAGCTTCGACGCTCGCAGCCCAAGAGTGTATTTGGCTTCGAAGGCTTCTTGAAGATTTGTTTGAGCCAATCAACAAGCCGGTTGCCATATATGGAGATAACCAAAGTGCTATCAAGCTGGCTAACAATCCGGTGTTCCATGCAAGGACGAAGCATATTGAGTTGGAACATCACTTCATACGGGAGAAGGTGCTTGATGGAACAATTGAAGCTTTGGAGGTTCGAAGTGAGGATAATGTTGCAGATATCTTCACCAAGTCACTACCAAAAGGTCAGTTCGAGTTACTTCGCTCGAAACTCGGGATGGTTGATAAAATCAAGTTTAAGGGGGAGTATTGAAATTAAACTTGATTTTGATCAAGGTTTAATTTTGGGTCCATAAACAAATTATTATTAAACCCAAAATTAGGCCCAAGTTCTAGAACTCTCTAGAAACATCATAAGAGGTCATCACTTCCTCAAATTTTCTAGAGAATTCTACTAGATAACTCTCTAGATATTTATGTAGAACTTTCTAGTTCTTGTAAGACAAGAAATCTAGATATTATGTTAGAGAGTTCTAGAGATTAGGATAAACTTGTAAGATAATTTGTAGAAAGTTGTAGAAGAAGAAGAAGAAATATCTAGGACCTAAGGAGGTTATAGAAGAGTGTAGAAACTTTGTAAGTAGATTTGGGAGGCTATAAATACCTCCTCACCCCCTCATTTGTAAATGCACAAGAAATTGAACAAGTTAATAAAGAGTGTTCTAAAGCTAAGTTCTCTCTTGTTCTTCTTAAAAGTCTTTCAAGTATTCTCTTGTGTTCTTCCATATTTCTCTTCATACTTAGAGGGTTTATTGTTTCTTTCGGGTTTCTCGGGTATTACGGTCTTGGGCTAGTGCTAAGCACTATCGGTGCTGGTTTCTCTACAAAATTAAGCTGTTCGTCGAAATCTCCCGCATTAGTTTAGTGGCATGTCCGGAGAAATTAAGCTTTCGACGAAATCTCCCGAGCGGGAAAACATTTAAAGTTTGACTCAATGCAAGCCCTTCTAATTGATTTAGAGGGTTTCAAATTTCACTTTTGCTATAAATACGTTATTATAATACTCCATCTATGTCATGATAAGTTAAGTGTCATTTTAAAAGTTTTTTCTTATTACAAAATACGTGTTATTTTCTGATTTCAATGCATTTTTCATATTAATCTGTTTTGCCCCTAATTAAATAAGTAAAAACATTAGTGTAGAATTCTAATAATCAAATAAGGGTAAAACTGAAATTTGTGTAAAAAGTGTCAAAATGACATTTATTATAAAACGGAATGAGTACTTAACAGTAGGATAAAATAATAATATTTCTGTTTTATTTTATAAACTAGAAAAATAACATATTTTTATTTTTCGATACGCTAAACAAATCAACAATGTAAATTATAACTTTTTTTTTAATTACTAGGAGGTTATGAACCGAAATTCATACATTCCCCTAGACCCAAAACTACAATATGTAATATTGGTTTCGTCCCAAGCGGAACTCGATTCTGTAATATTTAAATTTTACTTAGGGTTTTTTACCAGCCGAGCTATAGCCACTTGATCAATAATTATTATTTCAAGAAAAAAAAAATGATATGGTATGAAATGATATGCTTGTAAATCAGCACAACAAAACCCCCTATATCTTTCAAGGTGTTGACATATTAGCCTTTTTAAGTTTTCTGAAGACGACACATCAGTAGACACTATCACCCAATGGAAACATCGTAACAAATAATACTGGTCAGCATTTCACTAATACACCTCAGCTTCTTGAGACTTCTTTTGTCATCATTTCATTATATTAAACTTCAATAGACAAACAGAAGTACACAAATAAAATGAACGGCCCAACTATAACTTACGTGATACAAATTTAAACTTAATATCAAAACACGTTGTAAACATGTGTAAGCTAATGGGTGCATCTTCTCCATACGTGTGGAATATATATCATACAAAATTGATCTATAAAGGTTATATCATAGGATGTTACCTTTTTTTTTTTACAATATTAACAAACAAAAAACTTAGAAATTCTTTTCTCTAACTAAATAATATAAAAATTGAATTACTTTATAAAATTAAAATTATATTACATTTATAAATAATATTAAAATAAATCACTTATATTTAGGTATATACTAATTAGCTCTTACTCTATTCTTACTATTTTGTATGAAGTCACTCTCTGGTAATCAAAAACTCTCAGATAATCAAAAATTCTCGGTTAATAAAAAAACTGTCTATAATCTAAAGCTTTTGGGTAATCAAAAACTTAGATTATATTATATGTATCATACAAATTGATGTACAGAGGCTAATAAAAAAAATTGGTGTAAATTATTTTCAAAATCAAATACAAAAACTAAAAATATAAAAATAAATATAAACTAGAGTTAAGCCCGCGCGATGCGCGGATTGTAACTATTACAAACTTTTTTTAATTTATCAATATTATATCTTTTATATATCAATACATGTAAATGTTCGGTGGAAATATTAATGTATAGTGCTCTTTATTTTGTCGAATATCAGTTATGTTCAATTTTAAATTAACAATTCAACACTATAAATTAACCAGAAAATAGAATTAATCGAAATTCAACTTTATACTTTTTTAAAAAAAACTGAAAATTGTTACTTAAACTTTCGCACAAAACATAGGAAGCATGCATAAAAGTAATGTCATTTCCCTAAGAATTAGAACACTCTTAGGGACTATGTATTAATTTATATACACGATTTTTATCACCAGTTTTGTTATATTTGGAAAGACTATGTATCTCGCAAATTTCATGCAATTCTATATACGACAACTACTTAGAATGTAATCTCTCCCTTTTGTAAATCTTAGAGAAAGTAAAATAGGGCCATAACAAACTTTATTTATTTATTGATATGTAATATAACTATATAAGCTATTACCCAATTCTCGCCTAATAATAAATTACTCAATTTTCTTACTATTGATATTAATTGAGAAGTATAATATTTGTGTTTCCCCAAAAAAAACAGATTTTTGTAAATGGTTTATATATATATATATTTATAAGTGTTGAATAAAAAAAAGGATTTTGTAAATATTACTTTGGTTTGAAATTTTCGAAGCTCAGTGTATTCATTTTAACTAGACCAATGCTCGCGCATACGTGCGGGTTTTTCTGTTGTTATAATTTTTGAAAACACTATAAAATAGTTATATATTTATAAATAATATTTTTATATGATATGTAATATTATAAATTCTAACACAACAAAACTCGTGTTTTAGTTCCAACTTACTAACCAAGCGACTGAATTTAAAATATATATTTTTGCATCATACCACCCATTTTATGCATAACTCTCTCTGTTTACTCACGACCACATGAAATGAACTCTGATTCCCCACATTTAGTTAACACAATGCTAACATGTCTAAATCTGGAAAAAGTTGAACCATTTTATAAATATGTTTAATAATATTTCATGTTCCATCTTTAAAGAAAGGAATACAAAAGAGACGATTCAAAGTTAGAGGTTGATATTATGATTACGGAGGATTAAACGATAGAAGAGCGGAATTTGTAAATACGACTTATATATAACTTCACGTCCAATAAATTCGTAATTTATTAACTTTTAAACTGTAGAGGAAAATGAAAGGTCAATTTTTAATAAAAAAAAAACTAAAAAAATTTACTGCCACATGTCAAAAATATGGAGAGAGTTGGCCTGCTTTTATATATATGATTTGGGAAAAATCTCACCGAAAGTAACTGTGCCAAATTGGTTAAGTTCATTTGGTACGGCTCATGTGTAAAATGTTTGTGCCAAGAACCGAAGACAATGCCGGTTCGGTTTTATGTATCAGATTTTTAATTACAGTAAAACCTCTATAAAACAATAATGTTGGGACTTTGAAAATTTATTATCTTATCGAGTTATTGTTTTATCGATAAAATAATAATAATTATTTTATAAAATATTCTATAAAAAAAAGAAACTTTATAGATATATATGTAAGTAGGTACACGTAAGGAATCAATTGTGGCTTCGAAAACTCTTCACAACTTTTGGCCCCAGAAATTGTTGATGCAATAAGAAAATTCGAGATGAGCTCCAACGAGAATCCAACTTTCATAAAAGACAAACTACATTGGAGTCATATTTTACTAAATTGCCTTAGATATATATGCCTTAGTTTTATAATTATTATCTTAGCCTATTGTTGGGACTATATTTTTACATAGGAGTTTCAAAAATATTATTGTCTTATCATCTTATCGCATTATGCTATTTTTTACATTGGCCCGAGTTGGGACCGGAGAAATTTATTATCTTATAGTGTTTATTGTTTTATCGAGTATTATTTTATAGAGGTTCTACTGTATCCAATTTTAGTTCATTTGGGTAAAGCTCGGTAAGTTTGGTTTGGTATAGACTTTACTTTACTTGTGCAATTTAATTGCGTGCAAACACGCTGTGCCGTCAAGTCAAACTCAAGTCAAAATCCCTAAATTCCTCTTTAATTTTCTTTCTCTGCAAATCGGAGGACTTTCGTCTCGTTAATTCCGGCGTCAATGTCGTCCCCTAAGAAGAAGAGGAAGAAGACGACGAATCTGTCACTTAAGTCATCGCCGTTTCTCCCTCCGACGCCGCAATCGACGGTCAACCTCAAATTTGCCACATCCGGATTATTTGCTTCTGAGCTGCTTCGCACGAGTCTAGAGACTGCACTATCCGACTCTCTCCCTCGTCTCCAAGAGCTTATGTTCTCTGCTTGCTTCACCGGAGCTTTACCAGACTCTCTCCCATTTACGCCGTACTGCAACAATGGCGGCATCTAAGCCGTCGCCGCAACAACTTCGGATCCGCCAATCTTAGTCCTTGGGTCTCTTCGCCTTCGCCTCTGGTTCCTCCGTCCAGCTCGTCTCCACTATCCCTCTCCCTCCTCCTCCTGGTGCCCTCTCCCCTTCGTCACTTCCGTCGCTGGATCCCTTTCTCTCTCCCCCGCAATCTGCTCTCCACCAAGCCCTCCGCCTCCCACCTTCTCCTCGCCGTTGCCGACCACAACGACCGTGTCGCCCTCTCACATCGCCGGAATCAGACCAGATGTCGCCACATACAACTCTCTAATCGCCGGAGTGGCGAGACGGCTGATGCTGGATCCTGTCTTCTACCTGTTCGACGAAATGCTTGAGTGGTCAAGGAATATGAAACGTTAAAATTATTTGTGTTTTTTATTTTTTTTAATTTAATAAAAAAAGGAAGGCTAGGCCACGTGGCAATTCAGTAGAAAATGAGAAATTGTCTAGATGTCACTCAACTGGAGAGTGATATCCTCTCATTATATATAAGATACTCCGCGTCGGAGGTTACATTTCTAGTCTATACAAAATGGCTTTACCGTTAACTCAAGATACTTTCAATTTTTAAGAGTCGAGATTCTTGATCGATTAATATACAGTACTTGGATATAAGAATATAAGGTTTGATTGGTGATGGACATCGTTGGTGAATCGTTATGACTTCAGGTTTGTTCTTTCATTCTTTGTCTGACTTATGCAGTTCACTATATCAGAAAAAAAAAAAAAAAAAAAAGAATCTTGAACCAAAAATAAAGTCACTAGACATGTTCTGACGTATGTTTTATTCTTATTTAGAAAATTCTAAACACATTTTATAAATAAATTACTCATTCTTAAATTGTTGCAATACTTTAGTTATAAAATTCTCATGTTATAAGTTACGGAAATGATAAAAATAATTCAAAGATATAAATAATTAAATCAAGCTTTTGAAACATTTTGACATGCACCATAATGTTTTAGAGGTCCGATCATCGGAGTATTAAACTTCCTTTTTACTAGATGGTACATACTTAAACAAGATTAAAAGAAAAGAAAAAAAAAGATAATGTTCATTAGTCACATAGAAGATCGCCTAGAAGAAATAATTATGATGAAAAAGAACTAGTGTCAAACATTTTCAATTACAAGTATCAACTCATAAAACCAAAATCATTAAGTTGCAAAGTTTTTTTATAATTAGGGGTGATCCGGATTTGTAACACCCGGCTAATCCTTACAAAATATATGTAGTTGAGTTTGTTTGTTTTTCTTCTTTGGGTAAAATATTAAACTTTTCAGTTTTTTTTTGAAACTTGTGACAGAAGTTATAGAAATAACGAAGATGATAGAAAAACCGAAATCTACAAGCCATGGGTAAAGTTACAACAGCCAATAAAGAACAATTTTATAATAGACCCAAAGCATACTACCATTTCCAAACGGAGATTTGTCGAGCTACAAAATTTTGTATCAAATATAAGCTAGGGAATAATTAGAGGAATTAAAGAAGAGGAAAACAAAAGTAGAGACATGTGAACCCATCGATAATTGATGCGATGAAGATGGGGTGGGTCGGTCCACTAGAAGAACCACCACTCGTGCTAATGCTATAATGCTTCGATTATCATTTATTCGATTCGGTCAAATCATTTCTTCTCCAACCTCCAACACCCACATGTGACACGTACCTCTTATCAAGCATATCGTACCCCGATAATTAAAGTTTTCTTCTTTAAAACAAATTTAGTGTCGGTACGTGTTGTGAATGTGACATCCATTTGCATTCTAAGCCTACCTTACATTTATATATATTTATTTCAACTATAAATCCCGAACCGTTTTGACAGGCGTGTAAATTGTGAATTCTTACAGCAAAAACAAAAGAAAAATTATAACTGCTGATATTTATATTTAATTGATTTTGAAGGTGGATTGATATAATTTATGAAAGTGTATTATATTGTGTTGTTGAATGGGTTTACATATGAATATGTAGTTCCTAATATATATATACGGTATGTACATTTTTTACAAAATATGAGACAACATTGTGTTAAATCTTCTTTCAGTTTCTATATGGTCACTCATAAAATAGCTGGATATGATTTCTACATTTTGTTACAAATTAATCAAATGAATTTGTAGAATCATGATCTATAATGAACAATTACATCATTTCTTCATTTCACCAAAAACAAAATAATTTCATCGTTTGGCAACTTGTTAAATTTAATCTTTGATGTCTCGGATTACTTGTTAGTGTTAAACAATTACCCACCTTTTCTGTGTGTCATAATACTGTTGTTACTTGTTAGTGTTACCACTCATAATTTGGCGTTTAAGAAATGGTGATGGTGTTTATGAATTAAAGTTTGGCATTTCACTTTAATTTATGTTTTATTTTTGCAGGTTGAAATCAATTCCTCAGGAATGAAATCTTTCATAAAAATAATTTACTTTACGCATATTTTGTAGTAGTGGTACTGTACTTTCTTTATCGATATTAGTAGTGGTATTATACTATTATCCGGAGAATTTTACAAAGTTCTCCTTTTAAAAATAAAAAGAAAAATAATTGTGCGTCCTTTGTTCCCAAATTAATTGCAAACACGAGTAAAGTAGATGTCTCGGATTTGTTCTCCGTCTGTCCTAAACCATATCTAGAAGTGGGTTGTATATTGTACCAAACTTTCAAGATCTTGCCTATACGCATATTCCACTTGGACGATCGAAATTTGACATTCAACTAATTTTTTTATAACTATAATATATGTCCTTGAATTAATTTCATTCAGTCATGTCTCCTCAATGGACAATGGTCCATTATCAGTTAGGCCAAAAGCTATAATATCCCATTCTTATTCTTTATTATTAACTATTTTATCATCACCATCATATCACATTACATATGATCACATGATTGGTCGTGTAGTGTGGAGAGACATCTTATCTCATACGCCAATATGCCTAATTAATAAGTTTAACCTCTTCCCTATATATAAGACCTTAGCTTTGGCTCAAGTTATATTATATCCTCCAAGACTTTTTATTTATTTATTTTGCTCTTTCTAGCTAATTCTTTCTCTCTTCTCACAAATGGCGTCTGTGCAATATGGTTTTGATCAAAGCATGGAGATTTTCAACGATGATCTAATGATCATGTCGTTTCTGGAAGAAGAATCTCCTGTGGAAAATCATATAACCAACAACGAAGAAGATGAAGAGAAATTAAACCGCGTGATTAGATCACTAGAAGTGGAGATCAACGCGAGCTCTCCAGCTATAGAATTTCGGAAAGTGGATGTGCAACAGGAAAAATCCGTTCTTGAAGATGATTTCCGGTGGCTTACCGACTTTGATACTGGTGTGATTTCGTCGCAAGATGATGATGAGATGATGAATTGGTGTACGGAACTTTCTTACATGGATGGTGTGGATAGTAGTGTTCTTGAGATTGAAGTTGGCGACTATTATTCTCATATTAACTATGGAATTGCATTTGAGGAGCCAACTCTTTCTCTGTGGCAAGAGAATAACGATGTAGTTATGTATTGATTGGTTAATTACGTGAAGTCGTAATATAACAAAGGCTGAATCATATCAGTTAATTAACCTTTTGCTTTCAGAAACAAAACAATTAACCTTTTTAAGTTCAAATATGTATTCGTAAATGTTATGCTAGTGTTATATTATATGCTTTTTGTTTGGTTATGATTTCTAATAAATTAACATATATAGAAGTATATATATGTTATTCAAAAATATGTAATTATCACTTGATATAATTACCTAAACTATCATGTATCAACATGAATTGGATAGAAAATAGATGTTTTCAAAAAATGATTACAATATAGAACTACAGTAAAACCTCTATAAAATAATAATGTTGGGACTTTGAAAATTTATTATCTTATCGAGTTATTGTTTTATCGATAAAATAATAATAATTATTTTATAAAAATATTCTATAAAAAACAAGAAACTTTATAGAAATATATGTAAGTAGGTACACGTAAGGAATCAATTGTGGCTTCGAAAACTCTTCACAACTTTTGGCCCCATAAATTGTTGATGCAATAAGAAAAGTTCGAGATGAGCTCCAACGAGAATCCAACTTTCATAAAAGACAAACTACATTAGAGTCATATTTTACTAAATTTCCTTAGATATATATGCCTTAGTTTTATAATTATTATCTTAGCCTATTGTTGGGACTATATTTTTACATAGGAGTTTCAAAAATATTATTGTCTTATCATCTTATCGCATTATGCTATTTTTTACATTGGCCCGAGTTGGGACCGGAGAAATTTATTATCTTATAGTGTTTATTGTTTTATCGAGTATTGTTTTATAGAGGTTCTACTGTAATAATGACACAAACTATATTACTATATTTAGTTGATTGCTAGCTTTAATATACTTCTTTATTACCAAATGGGGAAGGAGTTTTACAAACGAAAAAAACAACTAAAAGCTTTACCCATTTTAGTTGTTTTTCCTCAGTTTATTGCAACAACAAACCAACAAAAACTTATTAACGATTGTAAAACCGATTTAAAAAAATAATCTGTACTTGCAAAACCAAGAAGTTGCAAGAATTGAGTTATATAAGAAAAAAAAAACATAAACAAGAATCGAGACACAATAACTCAAAAAAATCATAATCACAAGATGAATCCCAAAACCCTATTTACGAATTTTCTCATATTTTTCCTTGTACAAATTTCATCATCATTAGTCGTAAACTCTTTACAATCATATCATAAGAAAGACTACAAATCAGAGTTTAAAACACGGCCAAACACAGTTGTGCGAATCGTCATCTCAAATGATCTGTTTGGTCTGAAGAATAATGAAAACGCAGGTTTTGTATGCACAAACGGTGATAAAGTATGGAGGAAAAGCAAACCGGGAGATCGGTACGTTGTGGTCCAGTTTAAATACGATGGTATGAGGAGACACATTTTCGTGCATTGTCATCTCCGGTCTAATTTCGGGTTTGTGAATTTTCCGGTTAGTATTAATCCGGACACGTCTGCTTATTGTCAACCTAATAACGTATGTGGTTACTCGATTCGAAAAGATGGGGTCTTTTACATGCCTCAGAAGAAGCTTTATCGATGGAACCATGGAAGAAAGTGATGTTCATATATATATAAATATAATGATGAATGAGAATATGTGTAATTTTAGAAATTTCCACCTCGTCCTTTTGAGAAAAAAAATTCTTCAATTTTGCCTTTTGCTTTTTCTCTCATTATCGTTGTTCTTTCCTAGCTTTATAGTAATAAAACCCCAATTAACCGGATAAAAACCCCTAGATTATAGTGTTATAGATAAAACCCCTCACATTTAAGTCTGTTATAGATAATTCCCCTCCGTTAACTGTATCATTAAAACTGAACAGACACCTGTTAAACTAAAAAGTTGCGAAGTAGAAAAACAAAAAAACGACAGATTCTAATTAAATGATATGAAAAATAGATTAAAAAAAATCCCCAAATTAAGAATTAGGGCTCTTCGTCCAATATTGTAAGTGGGATATATGGGGACTCAAAGTACGCATCTTGTCCTCTTCTTGTTCAATACACGTTAATGTTGAAAGATTAGGAAGAAAACTATTAGCAATAGGATTAACTCACACCCAAAAGCTAGCTTATAAGTGGAGGATTGCCTTATACTATACTTCCTCTGTTTTTTTTTAATAAATTTTCTAGCCATTATGTGTTGTTTCACAAAGATAAAATTTTTACCTTTTTGATGCACTTTTTCAGTTTTCAAGATACAATGATTATATTTGTTGGATTTTTATTGGTTTAAAATTATAAAAAATTGTTTTATTGCAGAAATCTATGCACTAATGATTGAAAATCAATTTTTTCTTAATCTGTGTGAAAAAACTAGAAAATTTATCTTTAAAAAACGGAGGGAGTATATATTAGTGATGAAAGACTCCCACTTTCGATGTGAGACTTTCATACTCTAATAGGCCACCTCGAGATGAGGGCGGGACAACGCACATCATCTCGGAAATACCACAACAAGACGGGTCACTTATACGGGTCATTTTCAATGTGGGAAACCATTTTTCTTTGTGGGAAATCGCTTGTTAGGCTTAACCATGGACTCTGATACCATATTAATAATGGGCCTAACTCACACCCAAAAGTTAGCTTATAAGTGGAGGATTGCCTTATACTATATATATAATAGTGATGAAAGACTCCCACTTTAGACTTTTACACTCTAATAAAAACGAAGAATCAGAGTTTATGACTACCGTAGGAAGCGTACTCCATCTCCTCAGACAGAGAGCAAATAATCAATGTCCATGTTCGTTAGTCATATGGTGGGGTCGTCTCCGGTTAAACAGCTCAGGGTGGTGCAAGTCCATGGAACACATTGGTAATGCGGTTGGGCTCTCCTCCTCCTGGCCCATGACATATTGACGAACAAGGCAACAACGGATCGAAGACGATGGAGCAAGGTGCAGCCGCGTGTCTTCTCTCTCTCTCCTCTGGTGGCACAATTTGGTGGCTTACACTATTGCAATATATATATATATGTCCATACGCACGTTCGTGAGAGAAAATGGGATGATGGACTTTGAGATTTGTTCGAAAAGAAGAAGGGGTGATAAACCCAGGTGTTCAGTATTTATAGAAACGCCCACATCTTTCGCTAATTACGGAAACGCCCAATATCTATCATTATTTACGGAAGAGACCGAAATCTTTCGTTATCTACGGAAGAGAGCTACATCTTTCCGATGTTAACGGAAGAGACACAGATCTTTCGTTATTTACATAAGAAACCCAGATCGTTCCGGTAATGACGGAAGTGATCCAGAACTTCTGCTACTTACGTCAGCGCCCCAGAGCTTCTGCTATTTACCAAGTTACCATAGAGCCTTCAGTAGTTACTGAAACTTTTCCATATCTTTGATAATTGTCAAAAACACTCCCAAATTGTATAATCTATCATCGACACTTTTTTTTATCTTGTTGTGTGGACTTTCAAAATTTGATTCTGAATCATATTAAACAAGTCTAATGATTCTATGAATTCATTAAATCTTTGTTATTGAAAGATAGATTTTAAACAAATTAACTCATGAAACAAAACTACCTTCCATTAGTCTAACAAAAAATCTTTATAAATTCAACAATTCTCTTAATTATAAAAATCCACCCAAATTCTAATCCCAATAACCGCCTGTTTAGTATTAGTGTATGATCGATTATTTTGTGTTTAAACTAATAAAGAGGTGGTTGATTGTTAAAAAAAACAATCAAACTACCTTCAATTAGTCTCGAAAGCTTCCACTTTTAACATGGGGAAGTGGATTGCACAATCTGCCTTGAAAGTTTTGAGCCTAAAGCAATGTTGGCTCAAACTCCTTGCGGTCATGCATTCCACTCGGAATGCTTGGCTCAGTGGAGAAACAATTATCCGATTTGTAGAATCAATTTTTAGTCCATTCATGTTAGAATTTGTCTTTATTGCTTATTTAGTAACTTGTTACGTGTAATATTTTTTTATTGCCTAAATTAGTAATTATTTTTACCAATTTAAATAAATAAACTATTATTATTTAGAAATAAACAATTAATTTATATGTAAAAAGAGGAGAGTTGTCAAAAATTTGCTTTACAAAAAGAAGTATAACATAAACAAATTATAAGAAAAATATATGCCAAACATAAGAAAATATATGTAAAAATCATAATAAATATGAAAATTTTATCATATTTTGTTAATATACAATTTATTTATAAAATTGATCTATTTTACAAGTGTGTCCCAATTAATAAGACTAGTGGTAATAAAATTAGTATTAATGTGTGATCGGTTATTTTGTGTTTAAACTAATAAAGAGGTGGTTGATTGTAAAAAAAAAAAATCAAACTACCTACAATTAGTCTCAATAGCTTCCACTTCTAACATAAGGAAGTGAATTGCACAATTTGCCTTGAAAGTTTTGAGCCTAAAGCAATGTTAGCTCAAACTCCTTGCGATCATGCATTTTGCAGTCATGCATTCCACTCGGAATACTTGGCTCAATGGAGAAACAATTATCCGATTTGTAGAATCAGTTTTTAGTCCAATTATGTTAGAATTTGTCTTTATTGCTTATTTAGTAAGTTGTTATGTGTATTTTTTACTGCCTAAATTAGTAATTATATTTACTAATTTGAATAAATAAACTATTATTATTTAGAAATAAACAACTAATTTATACGTAAAAAGAAGATAGTTGTTAAAAATTTGCTTTATAGAAAGAAGTATAACATAATCAAATTATAAGAAAAATATATGCGAAACATAATAAAAATATATGTAAAATATAATAAATACTATTATAAACTAATTAATTTAATAAAAGAAAAGGTGGTGGAACCCACTTGGTCAGGAGAGAGAAGAGAGGTACGAATTTTCTCTTTATTGATCGAGAGATGTGTATTACAATGAAACCATAAGCTCTCTATTTATACTAAATTGGAGTCGGCTAAGTACAATTCTTAGCAAGGAAGCAACTAATAAAATAA